CAAGTTGGCAAATAGAAAAGCAGAATCCAAGTCACAAGTTCATGCAGCTGAAATCTAGCTGGTAGTTATACCTGGAATTCTATATGCCTAGGGTTTTTGATGTATCTCTCAAGATACACGCCGTCATTGCCAAAAGCAGCCCCAGCCTCGCTCCGAGCTTGCTGTGGAGGAATAAAAAATTACGAAACTCAATCGCTGTGAGATACACTTGGGACAGTAACATCCTGTTTTATACTCTTAGGTAGTCTGGTACTGATGATAATTTGCTCCTCCGTCTCAGGTCTGGACGGATTGGACTCTTAAACAAGAAACTGCACACCAGTGATGGTGTGAGAATAGTGTGCTTTCTAAAACAAAAAAATCATTGTACGAGAATGAGTACCTGAAGAAGTTTCACAAATTCTTCTGGCTCATTCGCAAGACGCATTCCACGGCCACCGCCTCCCGCTGTAGCCTGACACACACCCAGAGAGGGTTTTAGAACTCTCACCGAATACTCCAATCTCCTTCAAATGCAGAATTGAACTTCAGAAAGAGCGCCAATTTATAGCCTTGCACAAACGTCTATGCATCCCTTAAAGCATTTTGCAGGTAGACACCTACCAGACGACATGCATGGTAGTGATCACAATATGTACCTTTATCATAACAGGAAAACCAATCTCTGCAGCCAGCCGCACCGCTTCCTCCGTTGTCTGTTAACCAACCAAACCCAAAGTTTCCAGTGAACTGCGCAGTGCGAAAATAGGAAAAGAGAAGCCAAGCCAACACGAGTTCATAAAGTGAAAAGCGTTACTATTCCTTACCTCAATCAACCCTGCACTGCCTGGAACCGTTGGTACGCCAGCCCTTTTCATCGTCTCCCTTGCAGTTGCCTTATCTCCCATTACGCGGATGCTGTCTGACTATGGATGACGTAGTGTTATTTCATCACTGCTCCGATTCCGTTTCACTTTCGCACTAACTTGTCTCATTTAATTTTCACATTGACCAAAGTTATTTTATAAAACCAAATAGAGCTAAAACCACAGCACCACCCACATTTCAGGAAGGTGAAAGATGTGAAGAATTCATCATAGCTACTTACATTTGGGCCGATGAAGTTTAAACCATGATCTTTGCAAATGTCCACGAAGGTTGCGTTCTCTGCCAAGAAGCCATATCCGGGGTGTAACATTGTACACCCATGACTAATTGCTGACGACACGATGTTGGGCACGTTGAGATACCTGCCAGATTAAAAAAAAAAAAAAAAAAAAAAAAAAAACGAGACTGTTACGAATATCATTACAAGGCCATTACAAATATTCACAATAATCAGGGATTGCAAGTCGAGCAACTAAAACCAGAGCAGCTGAGAGGGATGTCGGGGATTAAAATCAGGATATGCTCCTAATTGACAACACTGCTTATACAAACACTGAGAGTACCGAGGTGTAAGGCTGTGAGAAAGGAAGAAAAGAACTTCCACTCACTAGAGCCATCCATTACTGCGCTACAGAGGTCAAAGTGTAGGCAATGAAGAACTACTAAAAGACTTTTATGACAAAAATTCCACAATAGCAATAAAAATAGGAACTCCCAAGCTTGAATTAAACAGAATTGAAAAACCAGGATAGACAGGGTTACAATAATGTCACATTCTCCCTATCACAATCACTAAAATACCACTAAATTCCATTATCGGTAGTACTGGTAGACTTCAACAAATCGATCTAAGTGGTTTTCTGCAATATTTCCGCGGTTTAACGACATCTACCCCCGAGTTATCGGATTTTATAGCCAAATCCGGCTGAGCCTCGACATTGAACTCTCACAGCCATTGCTACACAGAGAAAACAAATGCGACTACCAGGTATGCAGTGGTTACACCAATCAGAAATTTGAGGAAAAGAATACTCACGACTGACTGCTGGGAGCTTCACCGATGCATACAGCCTCGTCGGCCAATTGGACATGTAGCGCCTGTCTATCAATCGTAGAGTGCACGGCAACGCACGGAATGCCCATCTCATGTGCAGTGCGGATAACACGCACTGCGATTTCGCCCCTGTTCGCAACCAAAATCTTCTCAACTTGACAAGATGCGGACAGAGCCCCATTGTGCGCCTTCGATCCACGCCCATTCCCAGCAACCATAACACTCTTCTCCACGGCATGCTTCAATGCAAGGGACCCAGTTCGAAAGCTACCAATGCTACACCGAAGTCCCTGCTTCGGGGCACCCAGGAGCGTCGCAGACCCAGCACCACATTGTCCCCGCACCCCTTCCCCAGCAATCGCTACACCACAAGGCCGCTGCAACAAACACATCCCCATCCCCCAACAATCTCCGAAACCTTAAACCCATCTTCCTGAAACCTCTCTCTCTCTCTCTCTCTCTCTCACACATTTCTCATAGCAAATCCGCTAAAACCTCCAACACTAAACCCAACTGCCATAAAATACAGCAAATCAGAAACAGAAAGGATTCACAAGCAAATGACAGTACCGAGCAAGACGCTAGCTGCTGGAGAGCCTCCATAACCACCAGTAACAACCGTTATCAAATGCTGTCAATGCAATGGAGCTACTGTGCTCAACACAGAGTGAGCAATGAAAACACACACTCCCACTCCACTTCAGAAAAGCAAAACTTAGACTCTGATCAAGCCGCGATAACGACAAATCTCGTCCTCATCAGCTGCTCATGAAATGCAGCGAGCTTTGCCGAGCTGGTTGGACAATGCGGGGAAAACTTTATCCGCTCCCGAATTCTATCCCTTCCGACCCGGGTCGCGCTTACTTGCGGAAATCCACTCACTGCTCTTGAGAAGAAGAAGAAGAAGAAGACGGCGTGCGTTGGATTCGCTTCCACATGATCGACGTTCATGTCTGCTTTCTAATGAATTCCATCGTCATTCTCATATTGAAGATGGCAGTTGTCGTGATACCCTTGATGCTTTTTTTTATGTGCTTTATTCGGAATCGCTCTAATTTCGATTTTGCGATCACCTGCGGTAGTGAACTTCATGACGTGACTTCGATTTTCTGTCCAACTTCGTCGCTGAATCGTGTCCATTTTGAGCTTCTGGAGACGCTGACAAAGGTAGTTTTCCTACTGTTTCTTTTTTCTTTTTTTTCTTTAGTTTTTTGGGAAGTGAACGTGGTTTATCCCGTTGCTATCAAAGAAAACCGGTGGACTTACTCGACCTTAACTAATCATACTAGAGTGTTGTAGGAAGTGTTGTTTATTACCCACGTTTTATCAGATCTATTTAAGAGTTACATTTGCTTACTTGGTGGCCTTTTTTGCTCTTTCTGGGTTCTTATCCAATAGGTTTTTATTGTCAAGTCAGTGAGGATGACCCAAATAGTTTTATCCAAAAAGTGTTTTAGATGAGTTTTTTCAGATAGTTAGTTTGTATTTCGGAAATTTTTTTTTAGGTAATTTTATGTAAAAAAAATTAAAATTAAAATTAAAAAAAGTGTTTGTCATATGGGGTTGAATTATATAAACTAGATTGTGTTTTGGCTAGAATGTTACACTAAACAATGTTTGCTTAAAATCCAATAATTTTAGGGTGCAGAGTGTAGATCATGAATAATCATTTGATTGTAAGCAGTTTGTTTAAGCATGAATTGCTGATTTAAAAATATATCCATTTCTTGTCAAATAATTTTAAATTTTACAAAATATCATTTTCTTGAATAAAAGAATAAATAAATAAATAAAAGAAACGATTTTTTTCCTTCAAAATTGGCAACAATGCCATAATTGTAAAAAATAACCAAAATAAAACCAATTTCCTTTATTCAATCAGATTAATTGTTAAGGACTCAATTAGGTAGAACTATCTTCCTAAATGCATACGGCAGATAGTTCTACCTATTTTTTTAAATAGTGTACAAATGATAGAAGAAAGGGAGAAGGAGAAGGAGAGCTTGTTCTACTACAATAAAAGTTTATTGGTTAATTTTCATCTAAACTAAAGCAGAACATAATTAAATTCATATAATTAAGGTTTGGAGGTTTGATATGATTAAATTTCTATTTACAGATATTCCTAAATAAAAATTTATCATAAATTATTATTTTAAATATCCTTGATTTTTTATATTATATATATATTTATAGAGAGAGAGAGAAACATGCTTAAAAGTATAATAATATGAATCCCATAAGCTATAGTTTGTTAGAAAGCCAAAAAGTTAATTAGACACGACATCCACATTTATTTGTAAGGCAAAAAAGGAAATTATCATAGATAAACTAATTTTTTTTATTTATTTGTTTACATCTTAAATTTATTAAATAACTATTTAAAATCCTAATATTTACTTACATCTTATAGCATGTTGTTGTACAAAAAAACTAAGTAAGAGGCAATCTATAATCTAAATGAGTAATTTATTAGATAAAAAGATTCTAAAAATCCATGTTGTTAGAAAAATAACAAGGATATTTTTTGCATCATACATGCAAAATATCATGTCTTTTTAGAACATAAATAATAGTTTCTGTAAATCTAATTTTAGATTTTATCACAATAAATAGAAGTAAAAATTAAAATAAACATGAAAAAAAGAAATGTATAATCCTTTTGTTAAATCTTTCTATATCATTTTAACACTCATAAGAAACGCTATTAGCAAGTAATTAATCATTAAGTTTTTTTCTTTTCTTTTTTTTTGAAAGAAAAAATTTAGAAGAATAAAAATGATAGTGCTTAATGTGATATGATTGCAAATGGTTGATATTTAAATAACACTTGTTAATTGAAATATTACTTGATTGGACCAAAATATCATTATTTGAAATAATAGTATTGAAATAATATTATTTGAATTATTACTTCATTGGACTTAAAATTGATTATGCGAATTCAGACTTAACAAAAATTTGGTTGAAATATTTTTTGTAACCTTTTCAAGACCTTGTAGTTTGTAAATGAACATTACATATTATAGAATAAACTCTACGAGCAGTATATTAAGAAATTAGAAGACCACACACGGTGTGCACAGAAGTGTAGCATCAAAAAACTGAGCTTTCAAATAGATCTTACATTTTTGATCACAAAGGTCTTGGGTCGAATTCCTACAAATCTTTCATCCAATGGTGGACTAATACTACACTTGTACTAACAACCTGTCTAAAAAGCACGAGAAGGAGAAGAAAAAAATTATGCCATTAAACCCCAACTGAGGCTACAGAAATAATGTTGCAGACTACATATTGATAAATGTGTACCTTTATCCTGGTGTCACTGTCGAGTTCATGGACTGCACTTCTAAATGATCTAACTATATGTGGCTGAGCTATGCAACAAGCCTCACCTAAATCAATACTCACGATCCCGCAAGCTGACAATTCCAAGTCTAGAATGCAGCATCAAGCAGCTTATGCAGCAGCTTTTAATATTTCCTTAACAGGTGCTGACGATTGTAGAAGTGATGGTGGCTGCAAAATACAAACAAACTGGATGAGCACCGCAGAATATTGAGAAGAGAAGAAATATATATATATATATATACATAATTTTTAGTCAATAAATTTCTGATTTCATCGCCGATAGGGTACATTGTGTTATTATTGCTGACATATGCTCACTTACAGCTTGGAGGTCTTCCTCATGTTTAGGGATAAAGGCTGTGTCTACTTTGCCATCCTTGAAGTCCTGAAATACAAAAGCGTTCTAAGTATCAAGTACGGAAGGAGCACCAGTAGTGTATGACCAGAGAGACCACATTAATTGATACACAGCATTCAGAACTTGAAACAGAAGAGTAGTCGATCTCGAAGTGAAATCCAAAAAGTTTGACTGCAATCCGTAGAGTGCAAAGGACTCGCAACAGTGTTGTAGCAACGCTGAAACTATGGGTATGAAGACTAACCTGGATGTCTAAGATCAGCTTGTGATAATCAAGAGTAGTAGGTATGCCTAACACAACTCCACAAATGAGAAATTTAGTTTTCGACCATAATCGTCACTCAGCATAAAGCTTAAGATCAGGTTTAATACAAGAGATTCAAAGCGTGATACAACAAGTGCTGGTCAGATAACTCATCGATGCGAGAAGTATCTCTTTCAGGAGTATGACCTCAGGACGAACGGCATCATTAAAACGTTGCAATTGGGACATCATAAAGATGAATGACTGTACCTGTGATAATTGTGTCATTCAGAGCCCGCTTCATCCTTTCAATAGCTCTCTCCCTTGTTGGACCCCAAACAATTAGCTGCAAACACAACCCAATTCAATAATCCCTGTGACAGAAGTGCCAGAAGCATATGAATAGAACAAAAAGAAAGAGGAGAGTGGAAGACAGACCTTTCCAAGTAACGAATCATAACTGGGAGGCACCACGTAGTCTGTATAGATGTGGCTGTCCATCCTCACAAATGGGCCACCAGGAGGCAAATAGCCAGTAATACGACCTGCACTTGGAACAAAGGTCACGTCAGCAATTAGCTCATATCAACATGAGGCACGCAAAGGTAGCAATATTGCATTAAGATCTCTTATCCATTCACATTTCTTTCATATCAAATGCATATATCCAACAATTCCTGACCAGAAAACATTAGCCACCTTTGTGATCCTCGAAGGTCATGTTTAATAACAAATCAAAACATGTGCATGTAACAAATCAAAACAGCAGCGTATGGAGTCAATCTAGTTAATAAGTAATTGCTCTAACCTGGTCCGGGGCGGAAGCCTTGGAAAGCATCCTCTGCGTTGATACGACACTCAATAGAATGTCCCCTCAATACAATATCGTCCTTCAAAGCCAGGAAGCAAAACCACACGCCGATGAAATCATTTCCACAAAAACGGTTTATGGACTTACAGAACTATGAAGTGAAAGAAAAACAATTCTAAATCTGAGCTACAAAAGAATACTTCAATCCTCTAACCTGAGTGAATCGTAGCTTTTCTCCCAATGCTGCCCGAATTTGCTCCTCGATCAGATCAACAGCATAAATCATTTCTGTCACAGGATGCTCCACTTGAATACGCGTGTTCATCTCCATGAAGTAGAAATTGCCACCCTCATCAAGTAGAAACTCAACTGTACCAACTCCAATATATCCAATAGAGGCAGTAGCAGCCACGGCAGCATCACCCATTGCTTTACGCAACTCAGGGGTTAGGGCGGGAGAAGGGGCTTCTTCCAAGAGCTTTTGGTTTCTTCTCTGTCGTCACAAGAAAAGAGGTGATTCCATTTGCATAGTCAGCAACACATCTCACTGATAAAACAGTGTGTGAAACTTTACCAAACTAAGCTGCAATAATATTGCTTCGTCTTATTGCTCTGAGGAACTTTTTATGTCAATATGATGGATAGCTTAAGAATCTTCGTAAAGCTCAGAACTCATTTCTAGCTCAAGAAAGAATATCAGCAAGCTGTTCCACACATCGTCATTTACCTGAATACTGCAATCACGTTCGCCAAAATGAACCACGTTTCCATGTTTGTCGGCCAAAACCTACAATACCAATCCGGTGCAACATCTCAAATAAGAGAACCACAATTCTAGTGATAACGTGCTTATTGTCCAAAACAGTGTAGAAAATCAGTACATACATCACACATCAGCAAGACAATCATACCTGAAATTCAATGTGCCTGGGGTTCTGGATATATCTCTCAAGATACACACCATCATTTCCAAAAGCAGCCCCTGCTTCACTCCTGGCTTGCTGCACACAAAAGAAACAAAAAAAATTAGGGGATCTCATCGTCATTTGCAAGCACTTCCACCCTCAGACCGCCAAAACCTGGTCAAAATCGTGTCAAGTCAAAATTACTCCTCGACACAGTACACAATTAGTATACAGCAAGCGCAAACCAGACAAGATTACAGAGTTTAGCATCGATATTTTCTTTCAAATTCTTGGAAAGTAGATATAAAATACCTGCAAAAGCTTTACAAACTCTCCAGGCTCATTTGCAAGTCTCATTCCACGACCACCACCTCCAGCCGTTGCCTACATCACAGGACGTGAAAAAGGGGGGCATTGTTGACTAGAATCGGGAATACTAAAGAAGTGGAAGAACAGTCCGGAAGGGCATGAGCCATATTATTTGAAGTTAAATTAAGCTGATAAATTAAATAGGTAGAAGTCAAAAAATTGCTCAGACTTGTACTGAGAATGCAAGACCAGATCAGCATTTGCACTAAAATGCAACCATGGATGAAAATACATACTAGGAATACATAAAAGTACAATTGTGAAGTTGTGTCTTTAAGATATGAAGCGCAGATAAAAAAGGATAAACATACCTTGATCATGACTGGGAAGCCAATCTCGTGGGCTAATCGCACTGCTTCCTCCGTGGTCTATAAAGCAGAAAACATTTGAGTCAGCGTGATGGTTACATGTCCAAGACTGTAATGCGTCCCCATATACCAGTCTGTCCTGACTCATTATCAATCCATAATGCACAATTTAGAACGAAGCACCAACATAGGAACCCATCATGAGACAATCATATCACCTGAATAAGACCCTCGCTGCCTGGGACAGTAGGTACTCCAGCTGATTTCATTGTCTCTCGAGCTGTTGCCTTATCCCCCATAACGCGGATACTATCTGACTGCGGGCGGTAAAAACTCATTCAAGATCAGGATTCGGTCAAAATTCTGAAGCGATGTGTAAAAATAACAAACCCCACGAGATGCAAGATTCCATTGGCTCAAGATCCTTGCAGACGGCGAAGAAGCTACAGAAACCATCAACATAATTAAGCAAGGAAAAAAATATACATCAATGGAATCAAAAAAACCAAAATTCAACTCAAAAAGTTAAGGGAGGCTCCTCACGTTCGGGCCAATGAAATTGAGACCGTGGTCCTTGCACATATCCACGAAGGTCGCATTCTCCGCCAAGAAACCGTAACCAGGATGCAACATGGTGCACCTATGAGTGATTGCTGCTGTTATTATGTTCGGAATGTTAAGGTACCTAACCATACAACAAAAACCACATAATTTGGCTCAGCCAACCCAAGTTCACAAGCACACTTACTAAGACGAAAAATGAATCGCTTTCACCACACAAGATAGTGTGTTCCATCAGATCGGTCGACCATTGTCTAATTCGTTCATAACTTCATATCTACTTCTATCAAGCCCATTTCCATGGCTGGTGAATGAGCTACAACAAAAGGGCAGTTGAAGGTCCACGACGATGGATGCAAATTGCGGCAAAAGTGCACGGGAAGGCCAATCACGCAATTGGAGGAAAGCTGCCATAATCCAAAGCATGACATAGATATGTTCTAGAGGTAATTGAACGCAGAGCAAAACTTTGCACTCGCGAGTCAATCAAATTCATGATGACTCAAGCTAAATAAAATGATACAGAAATGAAGGATAAGATCACACTCACGATTGGCTACTGGGAGCTTCGCCAATGCATACAGCTTGATCGGCCAGCTGGACGTGCAGCGCTTGCCTATCAATCGTAGAATGCACGGCCACGCACGGAATGCCCATCTCATGAGCAGTGCGAATAATACGCACTGCAATTTCACCCCTGTTCGCAACCAAAATCTTTTCACCTTCACAAGTTGCAGATAGAGCTCCATTGCGAGATTTCGATTTACCCCTTTTCTCAGCAACTACGGTATGCTCCAAGGAGAGTGAACCGGCCTGAAATCTACCGCTGCTGCATCGCATGCTCTTCTTAGCAGCTCTCAAAAGACCCGGAGCATGACCACTGCATTGACGCTGCACCCCATTTCCAGATGCGACAATGCCACGAGCGCGCTGCCGCAATCCACCCAACAACCCACATGAACACCTCAAACCCCCTGACGATCATCAATCACTAATCCTCATTAAACTCTACTAACCCATCACAGCATCTAAACTCTCTCACACACACATCAAACGTCTCTAATCACTAGCACGCCACATCGAGAACAAATTCTCAAAACTCTATACAAACTCCATTCGAAAGAAATCGCGGGAAGAAAAACAAAAAATAACAAAAAAAACAAACAAACCAGCTACCCAAATGATCTTTCTCGGTCTGAACGCGCCACAGTAACTAAACCACAAGACCAAGGCTCAAAACATGACGCGAAGGACAATGAAACGAAGCGCGCGACGAACCGTGGAGGAGGCGAGCTGCTGGAGGGCCTCCATGGGGGCAGCAATGCGGGCGATGGAGGTGCGGACACACAGGGAAGGAAGGATGAAGAAGAGAAGAAGAGCTGAAAAACAAGCTGCGATGACGAGGTGGGAGTAGAGTGAGGATCAACAAGCGAGACGGCGACACACTCGAGAGAAGCGAAGCGAAGGGAGTAAGTGAGGAAGTGAAGTGGCGATACTAACGAGGTGGTCCTGATTCTCCTCCTCGAGGTAATCGGCGCCAGCCAGACGTCACCCCTCCCTGCCCTACCCCACCAGTCTCCATCGCCATCGCCACCAACGCTCCGGCGCGGCGCTGGGCTGGCCTCATCTCGCAATTTCCGACGTCGGGGCCTGACTCACTCGCATCTACTTTTTCGGAGGAAACTGAATCTTCGGCGGTTCCCCTTCACATGCAACTACTGCATTCTACTCACCACTGTTTGTGTCTGTATTGTGTCACTCTGTGTCTGTTTCATCACATGATTTTGCATGGTTTTATAAGGTTTCACCATGTCCAGCTACTAAGGGTTTTGAATTTCGTGTGTTCTTTGGAATAATTGGAATTGTTGCGAGTTGTTTGTGATGTAGTGAAATTGGATGCAAGTTTATGGGTGAGTCATGCATTTTGCACGAGTGATTATTATTGGGTCAAATAATCTTGTGATGAGAAAGAACATTTGATTTATGTTGTGTTTGTGGTATATTAAAAACACTTGAATCTGTTGGGTTGTCAAAAATTAAAATAAACAATAAATAAAAAAAGTCTATTGATTTTGGGTTTTTGTATGAATTAATGTGTAGAATAGAATTAATTTTGGTTTTAAAAATAAAAAATAAGGAACAGGTTAGCACTTGTTGCTAAAATTCTTTTATCTTTTTTACTATTTAACTTTTCCCTTGTTGTTGAGATTGAGAATTTAATGTCATCAAAAAATTGTACACAGCAAATCTTTAAAGCTGTGCTGGATTATCTCATTGAATTTACTTCAAAAATAAAATTCATTGAGATTGCAAATAAAATAAAACAAAGTAGTGGTTGAAAAAAAAAGTAAAAATAAGATACTTGAAAATAATTTGGTACTAAATATTAGGTTTATATGACATCAGTTTAATTCCAAACCCAATAAACATTATTATCAAAGTTACTTTGATAACCATAAATGTAAAAATATATATTTTCGAAAAGTGACTGTTAGTTCAAGAAAAATTATCACGGCTTCTAATAATATTTTGTGTGTAAAAAAACAATCCTAAAATAGCATATTGGCACTGCCATCTCGACTGTTTGATCAAGCCAACTAAACTCATCCCAGTAGACAACTTTTGCACTTGAATGTGGATAATATATTTCATAGCAAGTCTATTTTACACGGGGAATATGACGGCTACTAACAGAGCGATAACATAACTATTCATCACAAGAAACTTTTTTTTCACTCCTATGAAGGGGCATATCCCAAAACGAAGCCTACTGAAAAATCCAAAAAATGAGATCGCAATTTTATCCCTGTAATTGCTTCTCATTGCAACAGAATCTGCCGAAGTACTTGACTGACGACGCTTATAATACATCAAGCGCAAACTCATCAAAAGAATTAGCACTAGATTTTGTACTGTTGTCCATGATTTCTGAACCATTCTCCGTGTGCAGCACTCGTAAAGATTCGAAAATACTGGAGATACTGCCAATCATCTTCCGATGCTGGCTGTACAATGGACAGAAGCACTAGCACCAGATTCACAAGTGGTATCGACAGATCTTGAATAACTTCGAAATGTATACATAACGCCAGGCTTGGAAGGTCTCCGACTGTGAAAATCTGAACCGCATTTCTAAAAAAAAAAACGCTCAGATTTGTCGAAATTCGTTCTCCATCACCATTCTTCAGGAAATACAGCCCCCAACCAAACTCAGATATAGAGTATTGCGTCGAAGTTCGTCTCTAACATATAGCATTTCCGTCATGCAAATTAACTTCTCCAAAAAGAGCGTCTTCTTCCCTGAAAGAAATACATACAGGTCCAAATAGTCACCTCATTGTGTTAGTGTTCATCTAAATCACTAGCTTACCAGGCTTTCACTAAATAACTCATCAATTAAAAAGGATCAACAGATTCACTTTCTCAATGAAACAAGTCTGCAAAATGCCAAAAGAGGAAAGGTGCAAAGAGCAGAATCGTCAAAGGAACTATTTAAACCTTTCAAGGGTTGCATTTGATTCAGCAGAATGAAGGCCCTTCTCTCCTACTTTTGTATGAGGTGAACATTCTCTCAAAAGGTCACCATAGTTATATCCCCCATTGATAACTGACAACCAGCAATCGATCTACACAAAAAGCTCACCATGCATGACTTTCTCAATGACAGAATATGTCTAGTAAAATGCAAGGCACTTCAAGAGGCACTACAAGGACACAAAACGCTTGTATCGCGTTCAACAAAATTACTGCTTGAAACGGACTGCTAGGATTATCACCCAGCATCCATCCATAAATCAATCTTCTTCACAAAGTACAACAACCCTGCATAGTATACTCAAGCTAATGTCAACTGATTTGGTTGTTCGGTTAAATAAAATGCTACATGCGGGATAGCATGATATTCTTGTACAGAAATATTACTTTTCAAATTCACACACCTGAAACTTTAGAAGTGATGAACATTCCAGACGTAGGCCATGACAAGTGGTGATGTGGAATGCCGACCACCGAGTATCGCCTTGATGATGTAAATGGTTTGGGATGATGCCAATATCCACAATTTCACTTCTCATAATTGTTCCTTGCGGCCTTAAATCTGCACCAATGAGGTCTTATTAGATTTTAAAACGATATCGTCTTCGATTAAAACCAAAATGATGACTACTGAAAAAAGTTGAACAAGGAAAGAACTAGTAGCGATTCAGTACATGTCGAAATCTCCAATATGATTATTAATGAGTAGAATGTGTATGAACATTGAAGCCCTGCCAAAACATGACGAGTGGCTCGCAAAGAGCATTATGATATGACAAGACTTTGTTTTTTCAAACGTGACCAAATCACCTCTGTCAAAAACATGCAGGAAATAACACGTAAGCAGGAGACTGATGTTAACCTGTTGCCCGTAGGAAGAAGCAAATAGATGATCCGCGAATGACAACAAAGCGCAGCAACCAGTCATCAACATCCGTGTCATCCACAGATGTTTCCATTGACAAAGCTGTCCATCTCTACAAAACAACACAATATTTTTTTCATAAAAATGCTTTCCAGTTTTCTGCTCAGTACACGCTTCTAAGACGTCTGATAGGATGAAGAGAAACTGTACAATTTTCAACCATACGTGGCTCTTTTTCAAAAACATGAGTGCATACATGAACTAACTTTCACTACAATTACAACTATAATAAACTTCAAGCCCATTTTTCTTGGTCGCAAATTGAAATAAATATGTACTCAATACATAAACTCCTGAACATATATGGTTTCTTATTATGCGAACTTACTGTCCGTGTGTGGAGATAGCAGGAAAGCTGGGAGGTCCGTAGAACTTCATCAACATGATCCAATCTGCATAAAGATGTCGAACATAAGTGACATTGTTTTGTATCAAAGACTACATCTCGCATGAAAAATGTAATCCAGTTTTCCAATCTATTAACAAGGCTGCTGATTTCGGATGCAACCACAGGACATCACCCCTTGACGCAGATTTCTGAATTCGACATAACTAACAGGTTCATTTTGATTCATACGGGAGATCGTCACACATAAGTTACGACAGCTTATAAACAATTACATGAAATAACATGCTATTGATTAGTTTGCCTATATGTAGCAACCACCGAAGCAATTATAAACATACTGAGCGAGATGTAAGTTTTCCCTCTCTTCAGCACCCACGATTTCTCCGCGCAAATGCTGCACTTCTCTTGCGAGAGCCTCTTCCTGAGATTAACACAAAAGACCAGAATTTCAGGTTATTTTTTAAGTTACAGTATCCTAAATTGGAATAAAAGAAAATCTTATCACCAATAATCAACAAATAGCCAGTAGGATTAACCATTAGCCTCTTTAATGTGGCTGCCCCGTTTTGTTATCAAGAACAACAATTATCAAGGTCACGGCTACATCAGGAAAATTAACCTGGTCATCTTTTCCCCACTGGATTCTTGGCATTTTCCATTGTTTTAGAGGAGAAAATGATGTTTCGTAATTGTCTTTGAAATATGAACTTTTGTCCGATCTGATTCCAAGCAATACGCATTTCTAAAAAGCATCAGGACAAAGCCATCATCGTGGAGAACGATTGGAAAAGTCGGGGAAGTGGACAACCAGAGGCCAAGAGGTGAAGAATGAGGCCAAAACAGAAGGACGCGCAAGATTTCTAAATATACTGAGGTTCAATTGAAAGTTTTATATATATATATATGTATATATATATATATATATATATATATTAGAAGCTAACAAATTCCATAACTGCATGTAACCGACTTCCATACCTCGCACTTTGCGGTGTCCCAGGTGGTGTGGTGCAGCTAGGTGTACTTTTGACCTTGACGTGATTTGGCCAAGACACCAGAGGGCGTTCACCTTGAGTCATTAGCCACCGTCTGGCTAACTGTAACACCGAATGCTGCTTCAAGTCAAAACCAACTACTACTGTAAACTACTGGCCTGATACTTATTGGAGATAATACACCTGCATTAGAATCGAAGAATTGACCAATAACAGAGGACTCCAAAGGAAGTTAGTAAACTTGAACTTCAGTTATCAAAATGCAATGATTGTCTTCTCAAACAGACAACAATCTTATATATCAGAGTTTGACTGGGCATTATTAAAAAAAAAAAAAAAAAAAAAAAAAAAAAAAAAAACCTTCAGTAAGAGCCAATCTTGATCAGTCATAACAGCACATGCCTGATGACTTCGTTGCAAGGTTAGTAGGCCCAAACCATCAATCCCTTCACTTGTAAATTTGCCGGAAATCTCTGTTTGAATACCACAGATTAATTAGAAACTCAATCTAAAAGCAATGCGTGCAGCGGTGAATCTGAAAGCAAATTTTCGAAGCATGGAATCCGTGCGTGCCGATCGTCAACATTGCTCCTTTTTTTCAATGCGTGCTGTGGCATCAACTCACTACTCTTACATTTTTAATCTGAATCAATTCAGGGACTTTCAGAGATTATAACATAGACGAACTACCTTCAATCGATTAGGCTCTGCCAGCACAATATGCTGCAACTAAACATTCACTTCCTCAACAGACCATTGAAGTACAACAGTAATCTGATCGGGAAGTAACGAAGGCAAAAGCAACTGTGATGTGTCAACAATCCACGAATCGTCTTGTAACTTGCCGTGTTCTTCCACAGAAAGAGTCTGCAAAGGGGCTACGATGCCAGGCGTTCCTGCAAGAAATTCATAGCATTAAATAAGGAACAATCTACGGAAACCTAAAACTGACGAAAAGACTGGCGTGTATAATTTCTACATGCGTGCAGAGCAGCGATCACAATGCGCGTAACATGTATATGAAACATTCATATTAAAAATAATATGAAAATGAAAAAAAAAAAAAAAAAAAAAAAAAAAAAAAAAAAAAAACTAAACTAAACTAAACTAAAAAACTAAAAAACTAAAAACTAAAAACTAAAATAATTAAAATCAAAAAATAAAACCAGAGGCGATGTCAATAAAGATTCAACACTACTGGCGACAGTTATAGTCTGGTTCCTCTAATATCGCCTCATCTCACACGCGCTTACTCAAACGGATCAGATGTAGAAAAGCTACACGACGGATTATTATTCCGTTAATTCGACAAAGATGGACAGCCGATTCCCAAACTTCACATCCTTACACAGAAAACCCCCGACAAGCAAGACGCACCATGAATCCCGCTCAAAACCTCGTTTCGGCACCAATCCAACTCAGTATGCCAGAGTAAACGTCCTACTCAAATGCAGCGTCTCCACAAACCGCCGCGAGTAATGAAGCCCTGTACCTGAGAGAACGACAGCTCATTCTTCAATGTCATCGAAGCTTGTTCTCGCCCTGTTACTCCTCCCCCTTGGCACCGCCACTCCCTTTCTCTCTCCCTCTCTCCCACGCCCTCCGAACACTCAGCCTGATAACTCACCACTCGTCAGTTCATCGCAAGCGAGCCCTCCCGCTTACACGCGCCGGTGAATACGAATAAAACCAGGAATTAATCTTTCTTTGGCAACATATTCCCTCCTCTCCTCCTCGCCGTTCCTTGTAGGATAAGAAGGGTGCAGCAGCCACACGGATTATTGAGCCTGAAAGTGCTTGGACTCGCATTTCTGTATTCTGCAGTGAAAAGGCGCAATCCTCGAGGTTGAAATTCCAATACTGGCACACACCTGCTTCAACATTCAGACGAAGAATCTGCCATTTCAAGTTACGGGAATAGCGCAAATGTCGACAAAAACGTATTTGCGTACGTCTCACATGCGCGTTACTCTCGGGTTTGAAGAATTTGGATGACAACAAGTCCGGATGGATGGATGGATGGTCGTGTGGATGAATGAAAATGTGGGAGCATTCATTTGACATTTTACGTTGAATTATTTATGAGAGTGTGGCTTCAATACTTCTTGTAGAGGTCTTGAAGCCACTTTTAAAAACATCTTTGCAAAGAATAATAAAATATTGCTCTTTGATGGGTTTCGAATAATTCTCCACTTCACATAGAGTATCTCTAAAGGTCCTTTGTACTGCGAAAAAAGATAAGCTTTATTCTTCCATCAATGATTCTTTCACATGAAACAAAATCAAAGGTTTAACTCATAGTGGTTATTTTAAAGTTTCATTTTCATTGTCAACGACATTGTGAAATCTAGTGTTATTTCAATTAGTCTTTAAGTTGTTGTTTGAAATTAATCAGCAATCATTCATTTAAAAATAAACTAGAATTGATTAATTCATTCATTTCAATAAATATCTGGAGGTTTTTTTGTATGCTCAAAAAAAGTGATCAACTCAACATATATATATATATATATATATATATATATATGTTCATATGTATTAAATATCACGGTTCATTTAACAAAGAATTCAACATGAGTTCTATTATACGTAGATGTAGTATTTTTTAGCTCAGAAACAATATTTCCAATATTTTTACATATTGATAACCAGCCATCAAATGCATGAAGCTAATTATTTCTTAGATAAGTTAGAAAGTAAACATAATTTTAAATGTTATTAGACCACTCATGAGGAACTTAAAAAGTACAGTGCACAAGTTTAAAATGTTAAAAGCTGTATTAAAAATAAACTAAAAATAATGTATACAAGTATTGAACATATCTGAAATAATTATCCACGAATTTTCATTGAATATAATAAACAAATAAATAAAATTGACCTCAATAGAATAATCCTGTGTGAAAACACTACACGTAGCTAAAGTCGAATTTACTACTCTAAAAAATAAAATTACTATGTTTCAGTTGTTTCTGAGCTATAGGCGCCATGAAAAATAGTATATCAAAACTCTGAATGCCAGTAATATGACTTTTTCTGATTGAAGATGAATCAAACAAATCCATTAATAATAAAATTGTTCTGATGTGTGATTTCAGTATGAATTGTTGATTTATTTTTATTTTTATTTTTTCCTGAATAAAACTTGGTTAATTTTAAACCAACTCTGAAAGATAAAACAGCAAGTCGTTGCTCCCAAGACTGAAAAGGCTGCACCATGAGCATGAGCCCTACTTTTCTATTCTGTGGGGTGCTGTTCAAATCAAACCTTTAAGCCACCTTGTTGAAAAACATTGGGAACCACGCTCTCGGCACTGCACGCATTTCGAGTATTGCTTTTTGACATATTATCCATATCAAATATTGACATTTGTTACACATGCCTTCTTCTTCTGCTTATTGATTTCTTTCATCAAGTTGGGTGCTTGACTTATCTCGATTTCAGAAAGTATGCATGGTAACAAGTGAAACGTGTGTATAATTACAGGAAGTACATGAGACCATGTATTTGTTCATAATATTTAATATGATACAATCCTGTCTGAAAATTAATCTTTTCCATTTCTTTCTTTAGATTTCAATCCATTCTAGTGACATTTGAATTTTCCTGTTTTCGGACTAAATCATTATAGAAACTTCTGAATCTTATGATTTATTTAATTATTTTTGTTTATTTAATCTAATAAAAAGTACCACAGAGTCTTTTGTGGCAATCACTGAATTATTTTAGCGAATAGTTCTTCTTCTTCTTCTTCTTATATATATATATATATATATATATACACACACTGGTAACAATTTGATGGTTTATTGATATTGTGCAAGAAAGTAGGGAAATTTCGGTAAAAATGATTAAATTATGCATGTGAGAAACCAAATATGGAAATTGAAGATTCTTCCACAGAATCACATCAGTGTAGATTGCAAATAGATATTTTGTAGCAAAAGGAAGGTATTATTTAATTAAGAGGTGTGAACCAATTTTATTGAGAGAAGAATATTGGCAAGTGCTGGGTACGGATTTTAATAAGAATTTTGGACTCGTTCTAAAAAATTCTCTAAAAATGTAAAAATAGAAATAGCATCTGAAACGAATATGGCATAAATAAACATTCAGTTTAAGTGAAGATGGCGTAAATAAACATTCAGTTTAATTTTTGAAATAAATCCTGGCTTGTGTCATCACCCATCTAGTGTTTTTTTTGTGACAAGTTAAGTTCAGGAGGGAGGGAGGGAGGGAGCAACAACCATTTCTCATTTCTTGCTCTCTAGTCTTCGGCAGGTGCCACTTTTCTGCTAGAAAGTTGTGGGATGCATCATTTATACATAGTACAATACAGATTTAATTATTTAATTATTTTTATGTTTCTTCACTTCCTGGCCACATTCATCATGTCAATTCTCCTGTGCCTTATTGATTTTTGACTTAAAAACATTTCCACAAAATTCTTCGCAATTTGTGGTACTTCTCTATTTTTAGCCTCCGCTGGTGCATACACATTGGTTAGTAGATCGAACTGTCGGTATGGCTTTTCATCCATCCACGAATTCATTTGTTCATGCTCTGCCCACGTTCAGCAACCATTGTATAGAGTCTCTCTCCCAGTTCAGTGAAGTGGGTTTGGGTGGCGTCAGATCGCGGGAATAGTTGCGGCGGTGGTCGCGGCACCGCGGATTGTAAGTTCAAGCAACGGTTTCCACGAAGGGAGGCACAGGACAGCTGCAGCCGTTTTCGGTTTCTCGTTGAGTTATGCTTTCAAGGCGTAATAGTATTCGGGGTCGTGGCAGTGTTGTGGATTGTGCTCGGACGTCGGAGGTTGTGGGAGGAGTTTGTCTTGTTTTCCTTCTGATTTCTTTTTGTGTTCTTATGCGTTTCAGCTCTTTAATCGGGGTTGTTTGTACCACTGGTGGAAAATGCGGTCAGGGTGACATTGGGGTAACTCCAAAGCCGTTCGTGCTTTTTGAAACTAGCTGTGGCGCTGTAGCGAATTGCCTAATCGATGTTCTCACCATAGCCAACTCTTCGAATGGGAAACTCTTTGCACTGACGATCATCACATAGTTGGTTTTTAACTTTTGTACAGGTGGGTATTGTCTGCTAAATTACGGGAATTGAGACAGCGTGGTACATTTCAAAGGCGCTATGGCAGAGTACCTGCTGCATGGAACTTTGCTAATCAAAATCTATGGTGCTGAGGAAATTGTGACACAAGATCGCAAGACGGGTAAAGCTCCTGGGTTTATCCGAATGGTTCGTCTCGGCACCAAACCCTTCAACTCCGCACCAGCCTAGAGTTCTTGTATTAGATCATTGGTAACATGGGCAGTGTATGTGCTCCGAGGGTTCGCTGATCATCCGATTGCATGCTCCAATCATTTGAGGGGTAGCCTTTGTTGGACCCAGAGGTTTGGTGCAGTGAGAGCCGATGTCGTGGTTAATTTTACAAGTGACATACTTATTTCACGTGCTAAATCAACTATGATGAAATTGTATCGGCAGGTTGTTCAGACTTCGGAAAACTTACTCGGATTTGGGAAAGGATACAGTCAATATTACGCTACCGTGGACTTGGGAAAAACTAGAGTTGGGCGGACGCGTGTTCTAGAAGGTAATTTCAAAGATCCGGAATGGAACGAGACATTCAGCATCTTCTGCGCACACACTGTCTCTCATCTGGTGGTTTCCATCAAGGATGCTGCTGTTGTGGGTACTGCTGTGATTGGCCGAGCACGCATTCCCGCAATCGATCTCCTCTCAGGCACTTACTTTTCTCACTTTCAAGAGTTTCTATTGAAAATTACCAATTATTGCCCTAGTCTTTTCGTCTCTTACAGTTTTAGGACTTACATAGTACATTACGATTATAAGCTTTGCAGCTCATAATAATCAATGTTCACTTCAATTGTCCTCCACAGTATATGGAAACGTGTGTATAATTTATGCTAAGATTAATATGGGTCGGCGAAGGTTTGGTTATTGCTGTTGTACTTGGTGCGATGCATATTGTTATATCTATGGCTGTAGGATCGACCTTCATTCACTATCATTGGCGCTCCTTTTTATATTGTAGACAATCATGTGTGCACTGGTTGTGTCGATGACAACATTTTTTGTTCTAGCAGGCAAACAAATCGAAGACTGGTACCCTCTTCATAGTGACTCAACTGGTCATCTCGATGGTGCACGATTACGGTTTTCTGTACAGTTTACTAGGGCTATTGAAGACCAATATTGGGGGAAGGGTATTCTAGATCGACAGAATCCAGGTTTGCCGTTTAGCTATTTTCCTCAAAAAAAAGGGTGCCGGGTTACACTGTACCAGGATGCTCATGTGACCGACAACTTCCTACCTCCTATTTACCTGGGCCACGATCAGATTTACCAGCCATGTCGTTGTTGGGAAGATATGTTCGATGCAATTCACAACGCAAAGCATATAATCTACATCACAGGTTGGTCAGTCTACACTGAGTTCAAACTTTGTCGAGATCCTCAGAGAGTGGTGCCAGGTGACGAGGGCTTGACTCTGGGAGAACTGTTAAAGAGGAAAGCTGACCAGGGAGTGCGAGTGAATTTGATGGTATGGGATGACCGATCCTCGAATTGGGGAATAATGGGTCAAATGGCCACCCATGATGAAGAGACAGCGAACTATTTCAAAGGCACCGGAGTAAATTGTTTTTTGTGTCCAAGGAGTGGTTATAGCAAATCGACTGTACTGCAGACAGTAAAAACTGTAGTAATGTTCACACATCATCAGAAGTCCTTGATCGTTGATGCAAGTATGCCAAGCGACTGTATCACATCGCAAGAACGAAGGTTGGTAAGTTTTGTAGGAGGATTGGACCTTTGCGATGGTCGCTACGACGATCAGTACCATTCTTTGTTTCGTACCCTTGACACGGTGCACAGCACGGACTTCCATAATGGTGGCTTTGCAGGTGCTTCCATTGAATATGGGGGACCTCGTGAGCCTTGGCATGACATACATTGTAAACTGGAAGGCCCAATTGCTTGGGATGTTCTCTACAACTTCGAACAGAGATGGAGAAAACAGGCTGGAGAGAGTTTAGAGCATTTGCTTTCTCCTGATGCCATTGAGCGTGGCCTACTTCCTATAGCTGTCACACTTGAGGATGATCTCGAAACTTGGAATGTACAACTGTTCCGCTCCATAGATGCAGGTATTAGTCTGTCGTCATACCGTATAGATCTTTGACGTCTTGTAAACGTTTCTACAGAATTAGCTAAATGTGATAGTTTCTGATAACGTATATTTTTTATTTGGTTGGTGCAAGTTCTCGCACCACTTCATGAGGCCATCAAGGGCTGCAACTCGGATTCTTAGCTCATGAGAAGCTTATTGGACCCGCTACCGTACCCAGCACATGGTATAAGATTTTGTGTACACCTCACCTGCTACTTAAAAGTGAAGATTGGATCTGTTAATTCGACCTGTTGGATGAATGCAGGTGCTGCTTTTGGTTTTTCAGATGATACTGAAAAAGTTGCAAAATTGGGCTTAGTAAGCGGGAAAGATAACACCATCGACCGAAGTATTCAGAACGCCTACATCCATGCCATCAGATGTGCAAAGAACTTCATTTACATAGAGAATCAATACTTTGTGGGCAGTAGTTTTGGCTGGGATTCCAGCCAGGAGGTTGGGGCTAACAACCTTATTCCCATGGAGCTTGTTCGGAAGATTGCGAGTAAAATTGAAGCTGGCGAACGATTTTCGGTTTATATTGTGATACCTTTGTATCCTGAAGGCTATCCTAGCGGTGACGCTGTCCAGGCAATTCTGCGATGGCAGCAAAAAACGTTTCAAATGATGTACAAAGAGATAGCAAATTCATTGCGTTTAAAAAAGAGAACTGACCTGCACCCCAAGGACTATCTTAGTGTGTTTTGCTTAGGAAACCGCGAGACTATTCTGCCGAACGAATATGCACCAACGAGCACACCTCAGGACTTATATTATAAATCTGCCCAAGAGAACCGTCGTTTCATGATTTATGTGCATTCAAAGATGATGATAGGTAAGCTCTTACATCTTCGACCTTCACTTAGAGTTATTTCTTGGATTTTCTGTGTGGAGATTCTGAACCGTAGAGCTATCTGGCAGTTAAAGAATACAATTCCTTCCCCTAATATACCCCACTTCTAGCACTGTTTTTTTTTATCTTTTCGTGGAAGTATACGGCAAGTCGACAGAAACCATGCTGTACAAAGTTATCACTTTTCCACTTTAAGATGGCTTCATGTGCTATGAGTATTTGTTCTCAGTTACGTTTCTTGCAGCGGCAAGAATTCCATCAAAACTATTTGGTGTCTTCTATTCTGCTCCAAGGCCAGCAGGTTTGTTTAAGATGCATTTCACGGTGTTCATCAATCGTTTGTCGATTTCTTCTCATGGCAATGTGTAATTTTTGCCTGCAGTGGATGATGAGTACATCATAGTGGGTTCTGCCAACATCAACGAGAGATCCCTGAACGGTTCGCGTGACTCCGAAATTGCCATGGGAGCTTACCAGCCATATTACCTTGCAACGAACAGCCCCGCAACTGGTCAGATCCATGGTTTCCGTATGGCGTTGTGGTTTGAACACATGGGTTACTTAGACAATTACTTTCTGCACCCATCGAGTTTGGAGTGCATTCGCAAAGTGAATCACCGGGGGGACGAGCTTTGGAGTATGTTTTCTCAAAAAGATGTGGTTGATCTCCCTGGACATCTCATGACGTATCCATATTCTATAGGTCGTGATGGATCCGTTTCAGAGCTACGTGATGCTGAATACATTCCTGATACCACTGATGCCAAAGTATTTGGTCGCTCGTCGTACAAGCTCCCTGTTACGATAACTTCTTAAAATTTTGTTCCTTTTAAAGCATGTATATTGTGCGGGTTCATGCCTCTGGCTTCAAGTCCTTTCATCATCAAAGCATTCTACACAGAAGTAGCGGTACCAGATTTCCCTCCAGTTGTGGGGACCTTTAAAAGCAGGCTTGAGATTCGGAAATAGTTCAATTGGTGTAATACGTGAGGATGCACTGTTCAAACCGTTAGCCGCATGTAGTCATGCCAAGTAGCCGGCTGCATTACCTGCTTAGCTGGGAGTAACGGAGGTAACTTGAGGAGGTTGGTAGTGTTGAGTTCTGTTTGACTAGGACCAAAACTTTGCTTCTTCCCTCAACTGCTTCAGCAACTTAGTTCTGTACAATGTAGGCTTGTGAATACGAATAGAGTTTGTGAATCAAGGCCACCAGGTTTTAGGTTGCTGATCCTGATAGTTGCTGCAGCTCAAATTGCATAGCACTCAACAATGTATCTTGCCAAAATGTTGTGTGCCCTCGACCACTAGCTGTAGGATATTATTGAAATGCTTAGACAAGTGTTTCATAAGTATATTACTTTACATATTATTTCATATACTAGAATCACCCCATATTTACTAAATTTTTTATCCAACCAGATTCATTCCTCCATCAACTGTGGCTGCCCAAACGCTGCAATTTCATGTGGTGCCTAAGCAAGGCACTTCTACATGCTGCCCACGTTGGACAGCCAGAACCCTGAAGGCAATCTTCATGCAACCAAAAGCCAATCTTAGAGTTGGGCATTTTGGATTCAAATTTGAAGACTCTCAAAAGCCAATCTTAGAGTTGGACATTTTGGATTCAAATTTGAAGACTCTCAATTAAATTGAAAGGCAACGCATCCAATAGAATGGCTATTTCTGTTGTCCTTAACAGCAACTGTGTGGGCCTCGTTTGGAGCAAGAGCTAAGACTTCTTGGTTGTGGTCATCCAATTTAAGTTCGTCTTTGTTCCTACCAAATTGATGTCTTTTCCTAACCATGCTGCATGGTTGTGCTAGTTTGTTGTGGGGGCTAAGGAAGACTCTCCCCCTTCTTTCTTTATGTTTTGTTTTGTTTTGTTTTCTCTGCCTCCTTTATTTTGAAAGTTGAGATGGGAAGAGACAGGGTGTTTTAATGGTAAAGAGGTTTTGTCCATATTGGCACACAACACCACATATACAAGCAGAAGCAATTGATTGAACAAGTGTTGAAAAGACTTATTACATTGGTGGAAAAAAAATCAAAAAATCAAAAATAAAATAAAGAAATATTTTAAAAAATATAGTGAAATAGATAAAATTTTAAACTCTTGAAAATTTCAAACTTGAATATACATTTTCTAATATGTTAATAGACTACACATATTATCCTTGTACAAAAGTCTCATATTAAAGTGTTGTAGAACATATTAAAGTATTGAATAGGAGAGTTATTAAAGCCAAACCTCCTTGCCATTTCATCATTGATTCCATCTATTCTCATCTTTGTCACGTTATTCCAACCTCCACTCATTTATTCCTAACCTTCTTTCCTTGTTTTTTGTCCCTTATTCTTTGTTCTTTCATTCTTTGTCTCTTATTCTCTATTCTTTGTTCCCAAATCCATATTCTCTATCTCTATCCCTTGTTTCCAACTCCCATTCATTTGTTTCTAACTCTGTTTTTTTGTTCTTTGTCCCTTATTCTTTGTTTTCCATTTCCAACTCCATATCTCCCATTTCTTGTCTTCTATTCCAAATCACCTCGTTTAAGAGGTTTTTTCAAATAAACATTTTGAATGTTAATTAAGAAAAATTGTATATGTCACTAAAGAAAAATTCTAAAGTATTATTGAAAAATTATTGATAGTAAAAATATGCTTTTAATTTCAATTCTTTCTTTTGGATTTCCACTACAATAGTCAATAAAATTTTGTGAAATATATATTTGGGTGAAAGAAGCTAAATCAAAATTTAAATTTATTTAAATTTTAAAAATCAATTATTGCCACAAAAATGATAAATTTATAGATTTTTTTATATTAAATAAGGTGGTTTGAGGTAAAATATGGAATATAGAGGATATAGGATTAGAAAAAAGGGTTGAAAATAAAGAACTGTGAATAGATGATAGAGACACATGATGGACGAAATTAATCATGAAATAGCAAAGAAGATGTGATTTTATCAACTCTCTTAAATATAATGATTTACAACTATATATATATATATATATATATATATATTACAAATACACTACATATGATATCAAATAAGAAGCTAAGCCAAAAAAATTCAACATAAAAGCAAACAAGAACTTGATTAAATTAAATAAATACAAGATTAATACCAAGAAGGTGAGCTAGTGTTCCAAGAGATGTATTATTGAGATTGAGGATCCCTTTAGCCTTGGATCTAATATATACCAAGTATTCAAAAACTTCTTAAGAAGTTTTTATATTGCTTGAAGATGAAGTAATCTTAGGAAGCTTCATAAGAAGTTCCAATATTACTTGAAGATTAAGCGATCTTAAGAAGCTTCATAAAAAGTTCCTATATTACTTGAAAATGAAGCAATCTTAAATAAACTTCTTGGCAAGCTTCATAAGAAGTTTTCATGTTGCTTGAAGATGAAACAATCCTAAGAAGGTGCTTAGATAACTTCCTTAGTTCTCCTAGAACTTTGTAAAACTTGCCAAAGTATTTTAAGAACATTCTAAGAATCTTTTAAAAATATTTTTAGAATCTTTTAAAATCTATTAAAATATTCTAAAAATATTTTTAAAAACTTCTTGTTGGATGTTCATAATATTATATCCTCTTCTAACTCCGAGTTCTACAAGGAATATTGATTTTATATTTAATTTTTTATGATATATACAACATCTTAGCAATAGCTTCGTAAAGAAGTCATTCTAAAATAGATTTGGATTTTTGTAAAAGGTACAAGAGTTTCATAGATGAATTTGGATTTGAAGATAACATCAATGAAACTCTTGTACCTTTTAAAATGTATTAATTAGATTTTTTACTAGTTTCTATATATGCTCATGGATATTATAGCTACATCAATGAATAAAATATTCTAACTTAGCTTTTTTTTTGTCATGAATCAAAGATCTTTTCTATCTTATTTTTTACATGATTATCTATTTCAATACAAGATAGTGATGGTTGTATTCTTTTTGGAATAGTTGATTTTGAATAAGCCTCCAAGAAAGAAAAATGAAAGACATAATTTATCTTTATAGATTTACATAGTTTCAACCAATAAGCTAGTACATTGATTTACTTTTGAATACAAAATCGCCCTAGTCTTTCGTAATCTAACTTATTGTAAGACTGATTGATCTTGATATTTTAACAAAAAAACCATACTTTATTTCTAACTTAAAAATTAAGGAATTCTTTTCTAAATTTATCTAAAGATGCTTTATAAGAATCTTGAGTTGCTTGTAAATTGACCCTCAAAGTTGTTTGGAACTGTGACAATTATTTTGCAAGATCTTCAAATCTTGGATTTTCATCTTTTAATATACCTAACAAATTAAACTTTGGATACTAACCATATTTAGAATAGAATGGTGTTTATTAAATCAAAGCATAAAGGATATTATTATGAATAAAATTTACTAAAGATAATACAAGGTCCAATCATCTTATTGATAGTTGATAATATATTGCAAATATTGCTCCAAAACTTAATTGACTTGTTCTATTTGACAATTTATTTGAGGGCAAAGGACAAAGGAAAGTTTGATATCCACCTTCAATATCTCAAAAAATGATGTCTAAAACTTTGATATAATTTGAGATCTTTGATAAAAAATAATGTTATCAAATAGGCCATGATATCAATATATATTATAAAAAACAAGCCTTATCATTTCTTTTCCAAAAATTACCTTTTTTCATGGAACAAAATATGCCATCTATGTAAGTTGATACTTAATAATGTAAATAGCATCAATTTTAGCTAATGGCAATAAATCAATAATGAAATCCATTGATATTAAAGACCATAGTTGCTTTGGAATTGATAGTGGTTATAGAAGTCCATAAAGATGATGTCAAAAATTATTGGATCTTGAACAAATATTACAAGAGAGGACAAAATCCTTTACAATCTTTCATATTTTATACCACCAAAAATCTCAAGAGATAAGCTTTAATATTTAATTAAATCCAAAATGTCCCACAATTAAAAAATCATGATAAGATTGAAGAATACAAAATCATGTCAATCCACATAGAATATATAAATAATCTTCAAAATACAAAAGATCTTCTACAAACTTAAACTTATTGTTGTTAGGGCAGTGATTGATATTATAAACTAAGTCCTTAGTTGATGCTACATTAATTTATTGAAAAAAACTAGAATCAATAGGTGTAACCATAGAAGTAGTACATAGACAAAATTATTCTAGTTTTAAAAGAATAGTATATTGTTGATTAAAGGCTCTTTCTCTAGTCTTCAGAGTAAGATATGATCTCTTTTATAAAGCATCTAATAGTACTTGTTATTTTTCTAGTTAATATATAATCACAAAATCAAAACAAAATAGTGACATATTCCAATAAGCTTGATTGTAATTCAAAACCAAAACTGATATGAAATACTCCAAATTCTTGTGATTTGTAAATGTAATCATAAGATACATAGCATCTTTTAACAAGTGATGCCATCATTGGAAAGAGTCTATAATTACAAAAATTTCTTTATCATAAATTTTATAATTGGTCTTTGTAGTTGAAAATCTTTTAAAATAGAAAGCAACTAAGTAGAGCTTCTCATCTTTTTCTATTTGTGATAGTACAACTTTTAATACAAAGTTGGAAGTACTAATTTCCAAATAGAAGATCTTTGTGAAATTTGGATGCAATAAAATTGGAGCTATAGTAAAAACTGACTTCAAATCTTGAAAAGCCTTTTTTGCTTGAGGTCCCTATATCAATTTATCATAGGATGTCAACTGAGTGAAAAGAGCAATAACTTGGGAGTAATTCTTCATAAATATTTAGTAAAAATTAACAAATCTAAGAAAATATTATACATTCCATATTGTCTTTGGATTTGCTTACTTTATTACAGCTTGAACTTTCTTTGTATCTATCAATAGACCTTTATTAGATATAATATATCCAAAAAATTCTACTTTTGGTTGATAGAATATACATTTCTCCTATTTGGCATATAATCTTGTATCTTGTAATTTTTACAAAACTAACCACATATGTTCTTCATGTTCTTCAAGAGACTTAGAGTAGAATAAGTTATTATTAAAATAAAAAATAACAAACTTATCTAAGAATTCTCAAAAAAAATCATTCATCAAATATTAGAATTTAGCTAAAGCATTTGTCCATCCAAAAGATATGACAATATATTCAAAATATTCATACCTTGTCTAAAATGATGTCTTCCATTCATCTCTTTTTTTAATCAACGCCAAATTATATGTTGAACAAAGATCTATTTTGGTGTAGATCTTAGCTTGACTGAGTTGCTCTAAAAGTCTTGATATCAATGCTAATGGATAATGATTTTTATCATTAATTTATTAAGACTGCAATAGTTAATACATATTTGCAAAGATCTATCTTTTTTCTTCATGAAAAATATTGGTGCACCTGTTAGAGATTTGGAA